GAGGAGAGCACACCGTACTGAATGGAGATGCACGAGGGCGGACCGTCAGCACTGGTCCCTCCTGGAGACACCCCACGCGCCATCACACTAGTTTGCAAGAAAAAATCTTAAATACTGACAGCATGTGGCCAAGCCTTCAAGTAACATATTCACACGCACACAAAACGGCTTACATTCGGGTATTCTATGCCATCCTTAAAAACTGTAGCTTTTCAAGACCCAAGTTTGGTTTTCTGTTCGCCACATTGGGCAAAAAAAAAAAGCAAACGAGTAATCATCTGCGGTCAGCAGACATGTCTAACTGCAACGGCAGCCGGCTCAGTATTCCGGTAAATTGCAGGGAGGGGACATCCAAGAAAAAGAGAACATCTTACATTACAGTCCGTCAGAAACATTCCGGCATCTTCCAATTCTTTGCACAGAAAACTCACATTATCCAGCAAGGGTTTCGTCTCATCAACCAGTGCACATCCGCCTAATCACAGAGCAGAACCACTTGCCCTCAGGAAAAACATATACATGGCAGTTTGTGTGGTTGCTAAGCGGCCACCTCCCAAAGGGGAAACTTACTGGTGAAACGGAGAAGCTTGCTTAGAGTATCTTCCAAACAGCTTAGTGAATGAAACTAATAATAGGTGTTCACCACTTTAAAAATGATCTATAGGTGGCACGCAACACCCTGCATACACCTCACAACCACTGCAGTTGAGCTCGTTGCCGAACACCAACAGGTAGTTAAATATGCGCAACTGTCATTTAGTGGCACATCTGTGGGTCCTAAACAAACCGCATTGATCTTTCGTGAAATCGCTGGAGTCTAGACAGCACGCTGCCGCATTAGTCAGCAGGACCTGATCCAGTCACGGAGTGGGAAAACAAGAGCCGGGCACCCTTTTTTTTAACGCGAATTCAGCCCTCCACGGGGGAAGCTATCAAATCACACAATGCCTTTCAGACCTCGGCCACGACTACAGATTTGAACGCCAGCATCCTCCCATTGAGAAATGTGAACTTTTGGGGAAGGGCTGTTCGGACTTCGGAAAGCGGTCATCGGAACCCCCGAGTATTACCTGAACACATCTCGAAACCCAACACGTCTGTTGCAGGATTCCCGGGCGGGGGAGCCGGGCAAACACAGGTGAGAGCCGTGGTTACAGACACGCTCCGCACAGCCCAGTTCACCGGGGTGTGAGTCGGGGACAGGTCTGCCACTCATAAGCAGGCAGGAAGGAAAATCGCCACCCGGGCTCGGGGAGCTTTTTTCCGCCGGGAGTGCGAGAGGGCTCCGCGACACCACGCCTGCACCGGGTCATGGCTCAGAGGTTTGGCTTGAACCGAGTTAAAAATAGCACAACGCCGCATTTTCAATTGTGCGCGGAGAACGGGCTAACGTTATGCGCTGCACAGTGCTTCCACCGTCTAGTCTGGAGAGCAATCGGGCGCACCCCCCCCCCCGTCCGCCCCTGTAAACGACACACAAGTTACCCGCAGTAACGGGGTTTAACGGGAACACAACTCCGACTCGCACACACACGGGCTCCGCTCCACACACGCCAGACCACCGCCGGCGCGGCAGGCGGGACTCGCCGACCCACCTGCTCGCCCACACCCTCGCCCGAAAAGCCGTAGCGGCGCCTTTAAGAGCCGGAGACCTTAAACTTGAGCCCTTTTTTCGCCCCGGCTTGGGTGCTCGTCCCCAACTTTCCGCCGCCTCGCTTCTCCTCCCCTCCACGAAAAGTGCGCAATGAAACTCCTTCACTCCTCGCCTTCTCCCTTCCGCAGACCCAACCTTTCAAAGTTTTAGCTGCCGGGAACTTTAAGGAATAGGTGGAAGGGGGGTGGTGGTGGTGGTGGAAGAGAGAGACAAAAAACCCCAAACGCCTTGCCTTACCTTCCAAACCCGTCCCCTGCTCTCCCGCTGAGTCTAACAGTCCGTAGCAACTCGACTTCCCTCCCTCCGGCTTGTCTAGTGCGACTGGTCTCAACCTCAATGCCAACGACTCGCAAGCAGCCGCACAAGAACTGTTAATCAGTACGGAAAGAGGGAGGGGGGAGCGGAGGGGGGGGTGGGAGACCCGCCTTCGTCACTCGCAAAAAGCTGCAGCGACACCTGCCGGAGAGGAGTACTACCAACACTATGTGGCGAAGAGAGAAGTTTTTTTTTTCTCTCCTCTTCTCCATCGCCACAGCTACTAGCATCGCTTGAATAGGTAGTTCCGCACCACAATTTACCAATTAATATCCCAAAGCGTTTACCATTAAAGATTTAGAAGCCGCGCCCTTGCAGTTTTAATGGATGAATCAAATGGGCGTTTTAACTTAAATATAATATATAAATATTGCTTATCCTGTGTCTGGTACCTATGCTAGCATTTGTAATGCATGTTAGAGTTGTACTCCAGTAAGTACAATAATGTTTTCAATTCTAAATTCTAAAGTGACAACGGATGCTTATTTCTATATTCATATTTTATAATTGTTTTGTTTGGAGTGTTTCCGATGTTCTTCAAGGTTAATTTGATTGAGCTACTCGTCAGGTGTTGTTTGTTAATATGCGTAGACTGCAGGTAGCTACAACTTAAACAAAACGGTACGTTCATCCAGGTGCTGCAAGAATTGTAACTTTTGTTATCCGACTATAAGAGAGCTCTGCCAGGGGTAACGGGCAGAGAAAGAAGGTGAGAAAGGCATTTTCTTCCTCCTATGCTGCTGTATGGTGCCTTAACTTCACCTGAAGTTTAGGCCACATGATCGTGTCACCTCTGTAGCTGGACTCGGATTCTTTTCCTGGTCTCCTGAAGACTGTCACCCTCATCCATTCGCCTTCACTCACTTACCAAAAACCAATTGAACGGCACCCTTTCATTTGCAAACGGGCATACTAAGTGCACTCCTGTACTGCAAACAATCCAGGTGAAATAAAAGTGATAGAAAAACAGTCCTTTGTAAGAGATCAGAAGATGCCGTCTACCTCTAAAGACAGTGAAGGCATCAGGTTTGACGAGCTTCGGTTTTAAATATCCTTCCATATAATTTCCACCCTCGCTGGACTTTCACAGCTGGCGAACTCTACAGAACGAAATCTCATTACAACTGGGGATTTCGAATACTTGAACTGGGAGCCCCTGTGGTCTTCTCTTCTCAAGACTGAAAAGTTCTAGTTCTAGTTCTATTCACGTGTCAGTGAAGAACATTCCTTGAAGAGTGTACTTTCTTGCTCTTCTCCAGACTGATTCCAGAGTAGCAAAACCATTTTTGTATTATGAACACCAAAGTTACAATAGTTAAAATTAGGTCTCACTGGTGTTTTGTGAAATTTTAAGATAGTACTTCTTGATTTATTTTCTACATTTGTGACTATCCTTACATTTTTTTTTTGGGGGGGGAGAGATGAAAATGTCAACATAAACACCTACATCCTTTCCACAGGTAGCTACCATAAAACTCAATACTTCCCATTTTAAATTGAGAGATTTTTCCACCTGTACATGTACATTTAAACATCAGCCAGGTGGTTTGACTTCGACCTAGATGGTTTAAAACGTAATTTGCAGATTCTACAAATTTTACTCATTCTATTCTGGTATCAGCTGCACATTTCGCTGGTTTCCCAATTATGCTACAACTGGGGCATTGATATCCATTGGGAACAGCAGCCATTCTAAAACAAACCTGTGTTACGGTGTTCGTTACATCAGCCCAATTGTAACACTCATCCCTGCCCCGCTTCCTGTTAACCACCTCTTAACCCAAATACAGCACATGTATTCAATGGAACACTTACTTCCTGGGATTTGGTAACATGTGTATTCAATCTTGTTAAATACACTGTACAGTCTGGCTGACACGCCAAGTATTTAGACATTTAGACCGGTTCCCTCAATGTCTCTGGTTTACACATTGTTAGTCTTCCACACCTTTATAAACAATTAGTTTTAGATCATAGGACATAAGCTTTCTATAGCCTTTAAGATTTCTGCCAAACGCTGTGAGGTTGTCCAATTCAGATAGAGCTAGAGGCTTGTCAGGTGCCCAATTAGGACACCATATGTTCTGCAGGCTCCACTTTAGAGTCCTGAAGGCTACAGCCCCTACAAGCTGCAAGCCAGATCGGTCGACAGAACAGCTTGAATGAGGGTTGGTGGTTTTGGTACATTCTGTAGACCCTTCCCCCCTCAAAAAAGAAAAGTATCCCCCTTTAAAGACTCGCTTGTTAACTCGATTTAGGTTGAAAACGTGCTCCCATTCAACTCCACCCTGTCCGTTTTAGGAAAGAAGTGCACTGTGAAGTCTGCAGTAATTTTGAAATGACCTTTATAAGAAGGTATTACTTGTCTGATTAAAGATGGGTGATAAAGTGTTATCAAAAAAGCTTAAACAAAAACTACAGAAGTGAAGAATTCCTTAGTCGTAGACACGAGTGACTTTTACTAAAGAAACAAGTAATAGGTTTATTCCATGCTGAAAAAAAAGAGAACAACGTTTCGGCCGTGGAGCCTTCTTCAGGTGTCAAACCAGACCAAAGAATGAAAAGAATGTCAGATAATCCACTACCCTTTCGAAAAATAAGCCAAGGAACAAAACAGGCAGAAAATGCACAACTGTTTATTTTAATACAATTTGGTTTTTAAAAATAAATACATTCTACATTAAGATACAACAAAAATACAAAACATGTGCAAAATACTTTTCTTCTGCCCTTTAGCAGTGTGAAACAAGTTTTAGTTTCCCCGTCATAGTTAAATAAGTTATTCTAGACATCTTAGCAGATTGTGACATTAACCAGATATGGTGTTCTGTCATTTTACACATGAATGATTTAATTATGAAGGCTAATAGAGGTCCAGTCTTTTTTTAAAGTTCACAATAGATTCCCTTTCTAAAGTTATTAGGAAAAAGTAAAAAAACTTAAGTTTCTTCAATGTTTGTTCTAATTAAGGTTTATTACTCTTTACTGAAGCATCACATTGCTTACATTAACACATTACACTACAGTGGCTTGTTTGGAGACACTGCCATTAGATCTTTGGCCATGCCTTGATCCACACTCAAGCATTCTTGTGTGCACGCAGTTTGCAGGTTCTTTACACAGTGGTCTGGAAAAGACTTCAGACATTCATTCACATTCTGATAGACAAGAGATGGGTGGAGAGTCAGCACAGTAAAGTGACATCAGCTTGCCTACCTACTGTATCACTGAAGTTTTGGTTGTAGTTTTAAAAGTAAAGCTTGGCTTTAAAACTTTCAGCATCTAATGCCAAACATGTGAAAAAGTTTCAGGCACGGGTTTTAGTAGATGTGTTCTGCGCTTGCCTGATCATAAGCACGTAGTGTAAACCAAGACTGGCCATCCTCGATTTTGAATAGCCACAACCAAGCAGGTTTAACTGGTTAATATCAATAAATGACCTCCTAAAAATGTAAAGCATTTTTATTTTGGCCAATTTCAGCAGATAATTTGCTCAAATAGTCTACTGATTATCTGAACTGAAAATGACTCTGCAGCTCTTAATGATCACAGCTGGCTATTCCTGACTCTTAGCAATCAATAGATCTAGTAAATCAAAACTTCACGTATTCCAAGTTTTTTTTTTACAGACTGATTATTAATGGGTAACCAATAAGAACAGCTGGATTATGGCTCTACAGGACACGAGTTGGTGACCCCCTGATCTACATTAGGAATGTGCTACTGTGGTCTTGGAGGATGTGTGTTTCAACAGGTTTTCATTCCAGTTTATCCAGATGGCTACTGGATCAACTGAGCCCATTTGAATAAACCCAGCTCTTCATTTGCCACTGCTTTATAGAGACCTAGACAACCTGCAGACACAGCTGTCCCCGCAGGACCAGGACTGGACAGCCCATATCCAGATTACACACCAGGACACTTCCCAAAAGCCATCACATGGCACTAAGCACTGGCCAGCAGGATAGCAGCATCCCTTCACCACAAATGCAGGCACGTCAATCTTAGAAACATAGAGGATCCATTTTTTATCTTAAAGACAGCCTGAAAAAAATGGTAGCCAAGCAAACCTTAACAGATGTTTAATGTTTAACAGACGTCCATGGCATCATTTAGAGTGGTGACTATTACTCTGCTTATGTGGACCAGATTTTCCTCTTAATGTCCAGTCCAAAAAAAACACTAGAAAGACTATAACCAATGCCTGCTGAAATGGTCATATTAAGTTACAGGGGCTCATACATCTTGTGTACTGCTGAGAACTAATGAATGGATAAGTTAAGCCAAGTGGTGATGTTTTACTCACTTTTTATAAAAACATATTGAATGAAGTCTTTATTTTCTATGAAAGCCCTTTACTATGTGTAGAGGAAAAGTCATTTCTGAAAAGCTTTATTCGGACAAGAAAAGGCACTTGATTTTGAATACCCAGTTTTTACAGGAGGTAATAGTCTATCATTCTATCTGTGTAAAAGGCACTGTGGATGCATGAAAGGGGCCATTCATTATCTGTCAAAGACTACAGCACTCGATCTGCTCATCTTAGGTGAACCCCCTGGAGCTCTGCAGGGAGTTACTTGTGCACGGTCGCTCAAATCTAAATCCCGTCAAGAGGGGACATCACTAAAACCTCCAACCACCATCAAAGCAAGGAAATGAAACTGGCCCCTTTACTTTGGCGAGAGCTACCCAAGTATTGTGCAGAAGCATCCTTGGCGCACACATTAAATGGAAGAAGGAAAAATAAAAAGGAAACCCTTTGTAATGTAAAAGGAACAAACTGCTAGAATGATGATACCGACACCACTCCTCAAGGCAGAAGTAGTCATGTAGTACAACTAATGACCTCCAAAGGCAACAGCATGCACAGACTTTGGTGCCTCTAAAGGCAATTAGACATTTTCTACAGCTTCACCAGTAAGTTGAATAGCGAGACTTCCGCACGCGCCGGTCTGAATGAGCAGTAAGGTGGCAAAGTTCCCTGCCGCCCCTGGTTTGAACTGGACTGGTAGGTTGATATAGTGTTGGGACCTGCAAGGAAGAACAGCAGATACGTTTTTAAAAGGAAAATGCAGAGATATACCAAGAAACGGATCGATGAACAGTTCCCTTCATCATCTTCAAATTGCTTATGCTCAATAGCACACAAAACTAAAATAAAATGTAATGGCAGGCACTAACGAGAACACTGTCCTTTCATGTTTGAAAGCCTCCCATTAACAAAAAATGCAAAGTAATAAACAAAATCAGTAGTAAGTGGTTTGAGACCTCCTCCACCTTGATTTAAGTACTGCAGCAAGTAATCTAACCAAAAGGGAAATGACAAGCAATTTTACTTTAATCATTCATATTCTGCGTAGTCATTATTCATTTGTGAGTTACAACTTTAGATCAGCTCAAAGCTTTCACCATCACTGATCATTTACATATAACCTCTTCTGCAATCCAAGCAACAATACATAAAAATGCTTTATAATATGATAAACACAAATAGACAAAACCTGTTCTTCCTATATAGCTTTCATATGAAGGTGTACGCAGAACACTGCATTCTGAAAACATGCAAAAACTGTCACAACAGCAGTGCTCACGCTGCGCTATCAAGTGGAAACATCTGAGTAAAATGACAAAAAAGAAGTCTGGTAGGATGACTTTCGATGGATCCGCTCTTAACAGCTTCAGGTTTCTCCAGTGGGAGCTGTACAGGAGTTAATCACACTGTCAACTAAAACCCTTGTATTTAACAATTTCTATTTCAGCATTATAAGCTTCTCTGTGACATTGGAAATTGAGGATTTTCTGAACAGATCACTCACCTTAAGGAATATTTGGAATGCTTGATGTGGAATGGCTCCCTAGGGCTTATGAATTTCAGCTGCAATTCAATTAGAAAAGCTAAACATCAAGTCCATGCAGGTATATTAAAACATTCTCAGGAGTTACAACATTCACACAATGTTAACAAACACATGCTTTCATTAACTAGCAATGGAGGTCGAAAAGCTCTATTGTGAAGCTAATCAAAATGACCATGGTTAACTAGGACTTTCTCACACATGGAGCAGGAAGCACGCCCATGCACAATTAATGAGGAACCCCAATATCATTATATGGGAAAACTGCATTTAAACTGCTCAAATTCCTAACAACCCTCAAAGCAAACTCTTCAAAACTGCTTGCTTCAGTGTTCCACAGAAGCCGAGTGCAATATGAACACTGCAAAACAGCTGGTCTATGTAGACCTCATTCGTGGGTCACCTCTGGTGAGAATTTCACCTGTGGTGGTGAACAGCACTGAGAACCAACACTGCTCATAACACAGACTTTAGAGGAATTGATTAGCCTGTTTTAAAATAACCCATTTTGCCACATTAAGGACAGCATAACTTTTGCAGCTAGGACATCATGCTGAAATTTCCATTTTTTTTTAGCACTCGGGGATCCATGTGCACTTAAGATATTTAAACTCTAAACGAAAAGTGACATTCGGTTAATTGAGAAAAATGTTGCTGGTTCACTGCATTTCCTGTGGCTACTTCCTCCTATGACCCTATCAGTGTCATCAGTGGTTCAGTCAAAAAGACTCCTCACTTACCACATGAGTTGCAAAGGAGCTGTTGCGTACATTTACTTTCAGAGTGCTGGACTCTCCCACTTTGGTCAACGGGAAGGCATAGAGATCCTGGGGCGCGTACACCCCCCGCCGAGTCGCTTCCTCGCCGCTGAAAAGCAGGGCAAGAGTTTCCTACTGTTCCCAGAGGAATGGGCAGAAGACGAACTCCTACGACTCACTTTTCACGTCGGAAAGTGGCATGAGGGCACAGCCCATGGACAGGTACAGGCCAGTTCAGCACCGCAGTGCCGAGGCATCAGGTTCTGATTTTACGACGGTTAGCCCAATTAAAAACAGAAAGATGCAAAAAAACAACCATCCAGAAAAGTAACAAGCAATGGGCAACCAGGCCTTCTCAATATGCCTACATTGAGCAAATTGAGTTGTACAGCCTGAAATCTATCTGCAATAAGACGGGATATACCATCCATTAATGGATCCTGGAACTCAAAACGGGCCTTTAACCTTTCTCCACAGAATGGGTTTAATATGCAAGCTTCTTACCCAGGTTTAACTGCAGAAGCATCTGACCCAGATCTCTTCCGCACTTTCACAGTGGTCTCTGTTCTTATCAGGGTGTTTTCGGGGTCCGTCTTCTTCTTTTGGCCTGCTGTTGCCCCATCTTTTACTCCCTAGGATGAAATTTAAAATAAGGCTTCAAATCTTGACATCAAGAAAAGGGGGGTGGGGACACTTATGAGGTCACAGTTTACTGGGGTAAAAAAAAATTAAATAACTACAATCAGACTTACGACCAAGGTTCTGCTTTTTTAAACCAGTAATTGAGGCCACCAGCCTCAAGACATTAATATGGAGCAAGTCAGGTCACGCAGTGAGCCATCATTAATCATTCCATTATACTAATCATTTCAATTAATCTTCCCATTACCACAAGTATTTCATCAGCAGATGCATACATAGTGCTGTAGATAACTACAGACATTTAACTGTACATCTTGATGAATATCTACAGTTTAACAGGACAGCTAATGGATGTTTATGATTTGTTTCTCTTCAGTCAGATAAACTGCTGCAAAGTGCTATTTTATTAATAACGATGAAAAAGCTTATTGATAATTAGATATTTATAGCCTTAGGATTCAGTTTGTCAAAAGGTGATGGGAAGTAGTGTTAGTTAGAATTATGGTAATAATAACAACAACAGCTGTTTCTAGTGCTGACCGCTGAACAGAAAATAAGATTTCAGACACAAATTCTTATGTTTGTGGGATCATGAACAATGTAATATTAAAAACAGTTAGAGTCCATATTACTTATTTCTGACTAAAAGATCTACAGAACCGGTTGTTAAATGTAAACAATTTTTAAGTTCATGGATTGACATTTGCATGTTGGTATTTGTGGTATTTTTAGAAAGCACTGTATTGTGTATTCACAGAACTGGTAAGAGGTCTAATGTTCTTTAGCCCTCCCAAACCAACCATTAAATGCATGAGTTATGAGTTGCTTCCTGACAAAAACACCTGGTGGATTTTCACACATCTATCGAAAACAAATTTTATTTGTGGCCTCACGATTTTTCCTCCCTCTGTAATGAGGGAGAGGAGCTTTCTAATGAGACGGTTAAATGAAATCATTAGAAGTTTCATTAGTAGAACCTGTGCATGCAGTATATACATTTTAGAGATTGGGACATTACAGCCATTTTAAAAATCTAAGTGTGAAAAAAGTACAGAGCCCATCTATGTGGATGGATCATCCAGGTGGAGGATAGATATAGGTGGTAGAGGGGAGTCCCCATTACCTGTAAAGCACTTTGAGTGGAGTGTTCAGAAAAGCACTATATAAAGGACATTATGTAATCTGTATTGCAAGGGTTGGAAAAAATGCTTTTTAAATGGCCTGCTGTTTTTTTTTAAAGCATACACTGACCTTCGCTTGAGTGAACTTGTTTAGCAGAATGTAAAAATACATGCCAGTTCTAATCTCATAGTTTACATATATACATACTGCATTAGACTATATTCTAGCTTCATTCTGGGAGCACGTAAACTTCAGAACAACTTAAGGCACCCACTGTCCCGCAAAGCTGGAAGCGAATCCGTTGTTTCATGTGCGGCTCTGCTACAGGATGGCACTCAAGGTCCCAGAACTGGGCATAGTCTCCTCGGTCCCGAGGTAAGAAGGAGACTGGCACCTGTGGCAAGCAAAAACACAACAACAATTGAAAGCTGGCTCTTCACTACGCGATGAAATAACAGCATGCCCATCCAGTTTTGTTGAAAATATTCAAGGCTGCAGCTCAAAAACATTTTCAAAACAAAGCTAGGAAGCATTAATGCAGCTAACATTTTAATCATCTGACCACAACTTCCAGTTTTAACACAGACAAAAGCTTCAAGTCCTCAAACTGGTTGAGCGGGTTTGCAAGACCGTTCATTACAATAACCGGCCTGGATAGGGCTTTTCTTAAAGCTTTTCTATACATCCAAACAGAGAAATAAAGATGAGAAACATAAAAAAAAACATCTTCATAGTTTGCAATAATCATAAAATAATTATAAAAAATTTTATAACGCCAAATTTGTGTTTTACTTTCATGGTAATAAATACCACTTCTTTTACGGACTCCAGAAATTCCTCCGTGCCTAATCCTGCTTCTCCCCTGAAAGCTGGACCTTACCTTCAATTTCTCCTGGCTTCCCAGGGTTCCAGAGACCCGGGAGCACCTGAAGGCAGTGTAGGTAGCTCGATACACATCTCCGCTGTTGTCCACCCCCTGGGAACATTTTAGAGAAAAGTTTGCTACCACAGTCTGGGAAAGAGGGCTTTTAAAAAGAGATGAAGCCGATGGATTTCTACTCCACCACATCCCGTTGAACCCAGCTGTTTCTGTAGCCTGCATCTGTGTAGCCATTTTGTACAGTGTAGAGAGCCAAGTCAACAGACACCCATCTGAACCTGATACTGCACATTGCACTGCCCAGTATGATGCTGGCAAGCCTGCCAACCTCGCGTTTTTGTTTTTGAGTTCCAAGCCAGGGATTTTTGCAAGGGAGTTAGGTGCAGCACTTTCAATAGTAACTGCAGGCAACATCACAGAGGAGCGATGCATATCGTTTGATGTATATTGTTAAGTATTGCTCGGCTTCAGGCTGACTGCAGGCTCCATTCGCTGCGCATCTCTGAAAAAACGATGCATTGCCAACTGCACTACAAATATGCAAATCCAGACAGCTCCGCAATAGAAAAAGCTCACAATTTTATCTGGAACGCCACTCAGTCAGGACTCTGGTAGACATTTTATAAGCAGTGCACATGCTGAATACATACATCTAATATCAAGATTAAAGTTACATGATAGACTCTGGAGAGGGAGGCGGGAAATCACCTTAACATAAGGAGGTGCAAATGATGACAGATACCATCGAACTTCCTCTTCACCACTGTTCTCTACCTCGAGACAGGACTCTGGAGAAGAAAGAGGGTTCGAATCAGAACAAGGGAAGGGAAGGACCGTCGCAACTCGCTTGTGTCACACAGAGCTGCTGTGAGGGAAGCACAAAGTGAGATTCAAGAAGTTCATTTAAAATATATATATATATTTATGCGCTTGTTTTCCACATTATTTCACCAAGGTTCGTATATCCCCAAAAAAATTCAACATTCTCTGTGACATTCTAAGCAGACACACACACCGTTTTTCCAGTTAAAAAAAACATTGTTTAAAACAATATTTGCGATTCAACCAAGAACAATATTTTTCTTTCAATTTAAACAATGTTCTGGCAAAGCTCAGTACAATTGTCATCCTTTTACGAGCAGCTTCTCAGCCACAGAATTATTCATTTTTTAATGGAAAATATACACACTTTCTTCCCTCAAAGGGTAATCTGGGGATTTATTAAAGGCCCGAGAGCCTGCAGGAGACATTAGTGCTGGAGTTCTACCTGAGCTCTCTCCAGACACTGTGGTGGGGAACACCAGGGTCCTGTTCTTGATCTCCACTTTAGTAGGCAGGGCCTTTGGCTGTGGTTTAGCCACGTGAAGCACTGGGGTCTCTGGCTGGGCAGTCAGTACGCCAAGCGGCTTTGCTGAAGAGGCTGTGGCCGACAAATCGAGGGCCAGACCTTCGCGGATCTGCACCTTAACGAACTGCATCAAGAGACAGCAGAGGATGTTCACAGTGGGAGCTACAAATAAACGAAGTCACTACTCAAACAATATGAAGGCCACGCAAGCACATTTATTAGGTCTGATCTCCATTTTTCCACACTTCTGGCTAAAATGTATAAGTACCATCCCTTTTCAAATTTGCAGGAAAAAAAAAATTCCAATTCCAAGCTGCCAACACCCCACTACCCCTAAAACTAAAGCAGCATTTACCTTCTGCTGATTGTCACACTGGATGTAGATCTTCCCACTCCAGGGCAGAATGGAAGATTTGGTAGCAAGGGATGGGTTGGGACTAATTAGAATTTGCAAGTGACTCCTAGGAGATGAAAAAGCCAAAACAGACATTTTACAACATATTTCAGTGGAAAGGACTAAATTATTCTATTAATGAAGCAAATAAACTAAATACAGTACTAAAAGCATACCTATGATTTTTTTTCTTTCAATCCTTAGATGGTACAAGCAATTCATATTAAAAAAATCAAACGGGACCTTTGGGCATTAAAACATACCAACAGAATATGAAGATTAAGAAACAAATTGATCTATAAAGATAAAAGCATTTTACTGGAAGGATTAACCTAGGTTTCAGTTATTTAACTCTGTGTGGTTCTATGGGCCTCCTATAACCTGAATGTCACAATAAAAAGGAAAAAGCTCAAAGCTCATGATGAGGTTTGTCTGACTGGAATTCTGTATTCTGTACATACTCTGGCTCAATGAGTCCGTGTTGTGGAGTGATGGTCAGGCAGTGGGCAGGCCAGGACAGCTCAAAACCAAGAACTCTGGGGGATTTGTTCATAATTTTCACATGTCCAGTGTCAGCAGCACAATCTGCAAAAAATGGGATCTATTAATGCAAGTGGCTCCAGCAACATCGCGCTGCATATTCCCTGAACACAATGTGTACGCATCTTACACAGATCACTAAAGAGAACTAGAAGTTACAGAAAGCAAACAATTATTCCCATTTAAGTATCTTCCTACTCTAGATCCCAGCGATCAGGAACTCACTGATTGTAGGAGCGGTCAGAACCAGCTGCTCTGGAACGACACTCCAGGTGTCTGGAGGTTCACAGGATGTGCTCAGAGCGGGATCTGGAACATTCAGGGCCAAAGGAGGGCCCTGAGGTCCTTTCACCGGGAGCACATCGAGAGAAACGTTGCCGATGTGACGATCAGAGCTCCCAAATCCACTGTAACACAAACATCGAGAGGTCAAAAACGCACTTCCCCACCTTCATTGAAATCTTACTCCCTGCAGCTACCTAGATGAGGCATTAGGGCTGAGACTCATCAGAAAAAGAACAGCACCTTGCATCTTTAGCCACCATACAGACTTGAGGTGTATTGCTTGTTTGAGCTCAAAGTAATCCAAAAACCAGCCACGTCCCTTTCCCAGAACTACCGAACAAAACAAAATAAAAATCGATCCTAGCTGTTGCAATTCTTACACTTCTGCAATTTACAGTAGTGAAAGCGATAGCCGTTTTGCCATCTTCTATAAAGTTCTCACCCTCTTTAAACGCATTCAATAACTCCCTTGGAAAACCAAACCTTACAAAATCTCACAGAAGTGTCCAAGAAACCCATGAAATGAGGAAAACATGCCAATAAGAGTCTTTGATAGATCTGACCGAAGGCTGCCCAGTCCAGTTTACCTGTCTGCCTCAGAACTGCGTCTTGGAGAAGGCTGGTGCGACTCTGTACAATCAGGAGCTTCTGAACTTCCCAGCACAGACAGGATTACTTTGTTCATGCTGCCATAGAAAAGCTGAGCATCATTAGGCCTCTCAGGTAGATCATACACTGCAAAAAAAGTTTTTAAAAAAATCAAACTTTCAATAATAATAATTCCTTACTTATAGTGCACTATTTCAGGTCACTTTACTTAAAGCACTTTACAGGTAAAGCAGACACCTCTCTATTAACCAGTGAGCAGTCCCACCTGGATGATGTAACGGCAGCCCAAGCGCACCAGTACACTCCCCACACACCAGCAATCAGTGGGGAGGGGAACAGAGTGATGAAGTCAATACATAAATGGGAATTATTAGGAGGCCATGATTGCTAAAAGGCCAGGGGGAAATTTGGCCAGGACAAGAGGGTTAACACCCTTACTCTTTTCAAGAAAAGCCCTGGGATTTTTAATGATTACAGAGAGTCAGGATCTTGGTTTTACGTTTCATCCAAAGGATGGTGTCTTTTTACAGTATAGTGTCCCCATCACTACACTGGGGCATTAAGACCCACAGTCTGCCAGATGAGCACCCCCTACTGGCCCCACTAACACTTCTTCCAGCAGAAACCTTAGCTTTCCCAGATCATCCATCCAGGCACTGGCCAGGCTCACACTTGCTGAGCTTCACTGGGTTCCCAGTTGTGAGTTTCAGAATTATATAGCTGCTGGGATGCCATTGGGTATCATTCCACTTTTCTCTAAGCACATTAAGAGTTCTTAAGTTTGTTGTACAGTTTTAAAACATTGGAATGTACAACCTTATTTTGGGGAAACGGGGAACCTTGGATTTTATACATACTGTCTTTACACATCAATTCAAAGAAATAGCTTGTTACTTAGCTCGTTACACTATAAAAGCATAAAAAAGACCTGGGTGCAATCTTAATACTATGAAAGGCAAAATCAGGCACTAGTTTTCATTTACACAAGAGGGGAGTTTTAAAAGAAGAAACTTGCAAGGGTCTTCTACACTGAACCCTATAACACTATTCTCCCCCTCCCCCCCATCAACTGTACCTTCTGTTACTTGCTCCTCTCTAAGAAACCTTTCATTGAAGTTTATATTCTTCAAAAGGCTGTTTTCAGAGAGTACCCGCCTTCCAACCTCTGGTTTGTTACACAAAAACCTGAAAAACAAAACACCCCCATGCACACTTTGATAATCATATAGTTAAAACCTCCTGTTTCTAAGGTTAGACGACAAACTATGCCTGGATGCTGGAGCTGTGTATGTCTACATGTTCTGAAGCTGCTTTTTGAAAGGCACAAAATGTTCAATATGGAAATGAACCTAAAGTTGTACAATGGCACCAAGTATTGATAAATAACCCCCCCCCCCAAAGGCAGACTTACACTCTCATCTTTTGATTGCAAAAGCATCAAACCATAATGAACACCTTTATTTTTTATAATTACCTCCTGAGCTGCTGTCTTGAAATTTCATCTCCACAGAAGAAATAGACCGTTGACAAGACAGAACTGCTGGACTGGCACAAAGCTTGCTCCCTTCTCGTTGACTTGCACAGCAAAGTGATAACCTGCATCAATTAAAGCCGAACGCCACTGAGAACAGAAGTAATACCTCCCCTGAGCCACAGGACATGCAGCCAAACCCCATCAGCCTTAGAACAGGCTACTATAGGAAGAGAACTACAATTTCTCACACAGAAAAAAACCCCCACTTGAATCCTGAACCATTCCATGTTATAGGTAAGCAGCTCATTAAGAAACAGGAGCATCATTATTTCTTAGTCTATACCAAGACATCTGTTAGCATGAAGCAACAGTTCCTTATTTTAAAAAGTATAAAAATCCATCCACATTTTTCACTTCAAAAATCTCTTAATGCATGTGTGAAAATACACCAGGAGTTCAGGAATTTCACCATCCCCTTCACTTCTCTCTGGGGTCAAGTCGGTGCGACTATGACTGTGCGGGATTGGGGGGGGAAGTGTGCTGCGGGGGCCCTACTGAGCCCCGGATGTCTTGCGTCTTGGGCCCTCGTTCCAGACCGCCTCACACTTTACCTCCTGAGTCCTCTCCTTCAGGACAAACTGGGCTGGAGATATGCTGATGACCGCGGAATCCATCAGCGTCCGCGTCTGCAGGTCCGCAAAGGCCACCGCTTTGACGAAGGCGGCTCGCGAGCCGGTGTTCCGCATGCAGAAGGTCAGTTTGCTGACTTGGCCGGGAGCGATGCCGGGCAAGGTGACCACGTAGCTCTCCGACAACTTCTTCACCTCCTCCAGTATGATGTTGCTCGTCCCTCCGTAACCTGATAACGGAATCTGAAGGGGGGAGCAGGACAAAACCCAGTTAACGTTCGGAAAACCACAGTATTCCGGCCTCAATCTACAGGCTGAAAACCAGCCGAGGCAGAGACTGAACACTGATGCAAAGATTAATACCGATCCAAAGAAATAGACGTTCTGCTCAGTTCAGCTACTTAGCTGTAGCTGTTCACCTGCAGGCAAGACTCATGAACACCTACACATCAGCGTTTACAAATCCACCCGACATTTGCTTACAGTGAATTTTATTCCCGGCTGAGAGGAACGCATCCCCGATTGCTTGATCTCCAGCTTGGCGAGCATACACGCAACCCGGGTCGGAGCAAACAGCAAATGGATAGACGCATCTTCTCTGGGGCGGATAGCCAGCTCACGATGGTTTGTTAGCCTCTCTTCTGGACCAAAGGTACTCTGAAGCTGTTGAAAATGAGAACAGCGCATCAAGAAAAGACACTGGTCAATTCCAGCTTATCAGAAACTGAATATATGCTATGCAGGAGCAGTTCCTCAGTTCCAGCATTCTTTATTACCCTTAACACTACCCCCCCCCACCCCCACCATTAACAAGTTCCATCTTTGGATACAACTATTTCCTTAAAAGACACCCTAATCCTGGAAGAGCTGCAATGTATGCAGAGCTCATACTGTGCTGATACAAGGAAAATCAGTCAAGTACAATAAAATGAATAAAAATAACTATAAGCACAAAGCCAGAAGTGCATCAAGTGATTAACAAAAAAATGAAATATTCTGAAGTAACGCAGCATGCATGCAAAGCAGCAATAGGTACACTCTGTAAGAAAGCTTAAGAAATAAAAACATTACTGCAATGCAGTGTAAGAAGGTACCGAAGGTATCTAAAAAAACAAGTCTTGAGCAAAAGTGTTAGGAAACTGTGCTGTTCCATTTTTCCCAATGAGTGGGCAGCTCATTCCACCACTGAGAAGCAAGGCTAGAGAGAGAGGAGGAGGGCTCTGGAACTGGGAGACAAGAGGAAGAATAGAGAGGGCTATATGGTGTGCAAGGAGGCAAGTTTTGAAATCAACACAAAGAGGGAGGTGGCAGAGGAACTGGAGTAACAGACAAGCATGAGGACGACCAGGAAGAGAGAAATTCTGAAGGAGATGGAGTGGTGAGGTAACACTAGCAAAGAGACTGGAAGAGGGCATTAAAGCAGTCCAGACAGGAGAGCCCACCTGAAAGCAGTCCTGATCCTGCCCTCTGATTAAGAGCCGCAGCTGCTGCACTGAGCTGGAGGAGTTATTCCTTAGAACAAGCTTCTGTTGTCTGAAAAGCAAACAAGGAATAAACATTTAAGTCCCCGCAATTATGAATTTTGGAATGATCAACCTTCAATCAGGATCCGATCAAAGACCTCCTGCCCTACACAAGCCTATTAAATCAGAGCAGCAGTCTGCCATTGTCCATTGTCCTCCAGGCCATTCACAGTCAGAGTCCAGGCTCCATTCCACAATAGCTGTGCTTCAGGGCAATGTTTCCACAACAGTCTCAGCTCCTAGCACACAAACTTTTCATGGCACAGTAAATTGTTTTTAAATCAACATTAATTTTGCAAGGAGATGCAGACTTTGATTTTAATGTGAAATTTTGAACTGCTCTTATTTGACTAGAATTTCAAGGCACAATGCGAGCTTGTCTCAGTGAACAAAACCGTTAAGTATTTGGTTCAGTGCTGGAAAGAGTGAAACACTCTTGATCCACACTTTCCACAACACTGTTTGGGGAGCACGGTTTTAGAGATTATACCCTGCACTCCCAAGTCAGCATCTCTACTGGCTGAAGTGAACGTGAGACAAGAAGAAAGACATCTGCCAATTCAGTTTAGGAAGTAATTTAGGACTTAACATGTATTCCAACCTATTTTACATGAATTAAAGTTTGCTGCAATAGAGCTATGCCCTAAAACTAATTAAAAAAATCTTTGTTGAGAATTAATTCAATTTATTCCT